TGGGTTCAGTGTGTAGCAGATATGTTAAACTTTGTTACTATAACTCTACAAAAAATTTGGACTCAAATGATTGCAATCTTGAATGAAAAATGGACCTTTGTTTGAGGTGTTCGTATAATTATGAACCGCTCAAAATTTGCATTAGGCGCAAAAACACTCCTAAGATTGACATCAATTTCCATTCTTAAGCATCATATACTGTTTTCGGCTGTGTTCTATCGCGTGGTACCAACGGCTTTTTGAGTTTCTTCCAAAAAGTTCAAAAACCTTCAAAATTTGGGGTGTTCGTATAATTATGAACCGCACCTTATTTCATCGTTAACTCTCTTATTCATTGTCTTTCGCCATTCTACCATTTTGAAGAGCTGTCTTCAACATAGATTCAAGGTATGAAACGAAACATCTATCTATGTTCGTACTGTAGGATTAGGCAGAAACTCCAGCATATGCTATTGTGAAATAAGCCAGTTTAAAGAAAATTGCCAAAGAAATTCTGGGAACCTCCTAACAAAATTGTCAGGATTTGATTCCTGTACACGAGTTTAACATCCAAAGAGATGTAATCAAATCACCGAAGAACACCGGAAATTCGTTTTTACGATACATCCGGTATAACTCAAGGAAAATCATAACGGTGAAGTGTTTCAAATATGAACTTTGATTATCCCAGTGTAAGAGTTTTCAGCTTACCGGGTTTACTTTCAAAGTTGAAATGAGTCCCTCAAAAGCCCAAAACCCTCTTCAGAGTTCTTTTTTGATGCACAGTAATTAAAGATGCATATTTAGTTTGCTTCAAACCGTGAATATAGGTTGAAGCCATTTCTACAGAAGGTACCTCAGTATTGAAGCAGCAAGAGAGCTATTCAGCAGGGGGGACATTTTTTGAGACATCCTGTATATCTTTTTGAGAACATGAAGATACGCTGTGAATTGGTGCAGCAGAACCAACCTAAAGTCTTCAGCCTTAACTCATCATAAGTAGATGAAGTTCTGCAATGTCATTTAATCCCAAAGATCAGTGCAAAGGGCTCAAAACCATATTGTGTTTATGGTGTCAAGCAAATTTTCAGAAGGCGCAAGTGAGATGATTTATGCACTTCTCTAGCACTTACGTGTCTGTCTACGTCATCAAAGATTTGTACATGTTTTATTCTCTTCCTTCTTGATCTACGGAATTCTTCTGCAATTACAGAAAATATTCGAGTAAGAGCTCTCTGCCATTCATCCAGCTCTATTTGCCATTCATTCACATTTCAGCAGAATGGCAAAGGCGCTTGAAATGTGATAGACTAATTAAAAATAGGGTTGGTAGTAATCCGGTCGGAACTCACAGCTATAACTCTAAATTATCTCTGAGCTAACGCGCACCTTCTTGAGCCAGCCCAAGCCCTTAACAGGTGCTTGAACAGACCAAATCGGGAAAGCGAATGATATGGCCGGATACTCTCCATGAGCGGTAGTTTTCCTCTAGTAGGGACCTCATCGAAATCCTCTGCACAAGAAACAGAGCCACCAAAGGCGCAGCTGAGCTTTGAGATAACTCTGAGTTTGGTGCGTGTTCCTAACTATCGTGAAACTCAGGAATAACTCTGAGTATGGTTAGAGAAAGAGAAATAGCGTACAAGAGAAGGAGCAGCTAAAAAGTCCTCCGGTGGACATTTTGCTCGTAGTTCAGGCAAGCATAATGATATCGTGGTGAGCTGTTATTTAAAAAATTTCGCATTGTAAATTTTGTAAGATCTTTTCGCAAGGGGCTACTCGGTGCGCTGAGCGCGAAAATGGAATTCATTTTTCACCATGGGGTCATATAGCCGGGTTGCGGTAGTCGGAGACTTGGAGCGGTGTGTTATTTCTTGCGCTAATCACAGATATGATATTCATTTTATATTGCGGTGTACATCTGGAAAGGTTACGGTAGGTTTATGGTGGGTGGGCCACCGAAGTGACGCAGTTAGCTGAAACTTGCTAAATACTTAGCTGGGATTAGCCGGGGCTCAGATCGCAGACTACCGACCCAGACTGTTTTATATGGATCTGAGGGGCTGTAACTTCTCCTCATTATTCCTCAAATTCCCCTTAATGCGGAGAATGCATAAAGATGGACTGATCCAGACTCTTAACAACGATGCTTGATATTTTTGCTCAGAACGAAATTGATTAACATAGTATTTTGATTCTGCAAACTTTCGTCTCCTATTCTTTCTTATAATAGCTAATCTGCTGTCGGCATTTCCATTAAAAGAACTGTTTACCCACAAAACCCTGTTCACGTCTGTCTCAGAGTTTTAAAAGCCGGCGCGGATCACTCTATAAGTCCACAGTTTCTTGGCTTCCTTCCAGAATTCCATACCAATCACTGAAGCGGTTTCTTGTGGGCATATTCTTGGAGAATGTCTTCTTGTGCATTTTGTCACCCGAGACACCTTTTGTTCTTCCTAAGGAGTTATGCGAATTTGATTTTTTACATTTCAATCAGTTTAGTCGCTCTAATTTCAATATTCCGTAGGGTTTCGTCCGCTTGATTACCAGTTACATACTTAGGCACCAATTACGCACTCAACTCAGTCTCAAGATCATTCTGCCCTGTCTTGGCTATAAATTAGAATATTTTCGAATACTTCACAAGACCGCGCCAGATTTTTTTCTGGTGATGATCGGCCAACGGTAAACCAATCAATTTTTTTCAAGGTTTTGATCTATCCAAGTTTTGCCTAGGCCATTGCCAATAAGTTTTTCTTTTGATAAACAACTTTACAAATTTTGACTTCGTTGGCAACCTTACAAGGAAACGATACTCAATGTCCGTGGCCTTTTGAGACGAGATGTAAGCCATTACACTCGCCTTCGAACGCTGATTCCGAATCTGACTTTCGTTTCTGCTAGTCGTTTCTCTGAAAGAAGTTATAGCGAATTTTGAGCCAAGTTTGGCCTCCCAAAGGAAATATGCTTACTGGAACGGCCTCTACTGCGGCTACGTTCTGGTCTAGTAAATAGTGCGATAGCCTCATAAGTCAACGCAGGTGTAGGTTCAAATCCTTTTGTGTTTTTACCTTTGCACTGCCTTACTTGTTCAAGAAAATTCATTCGAATTACAATCACTGGATACATTTCAGCGCAAACACCAATCATTCATTCCAAATTTACATATTTTTTGAAGAGTAAGGGCGTTCACTCAGCTTGACGATGCGAAAGAAGGTTAACTGAGGCAAGGCAAAACAGAAGAACACAAACGGACTCGAACCTACACCTGCATCGACTCATGAGGCTATCACACTAACCACTACACCAAGGGTAACGGCGTCGCTCGCCGCTTTGACCATATCTCGCTAGGCAGCCAAACTCCGCGCGATCCATCATAATATCTTTGAAGCGATTAGCAGAAACGGGAGTCAGATTCGGAATCAGCGTTCGAAGATGAGTGTAATGGCGTACATCTCATCTCAAAAGGCCACGGACACCGAGTATCGTTCCCTTGTTAGTAACGGACAAGAGGCAGGCAAGCACATTTGCGATGATGAAAAGCATTTGAAAACCGAAATTGTTGTGAAAATCGCGTCATAGTCAGGAGTTTAGCTAGGATGAGTCATGTAACAAATAAAAGGTTTTATCAGAGCCTGAGCACATATTCCATTCATGAATCCCGTACTCACGTTTTTTCCACCTGTCTAAAAATTGTTTACTTGCTGATTTTGTCTCAACAGCAAATCCCCATAGTAGTTTCCGTTGCGTTAGTCTAGTGAGTGCGGAGCTCAAAACAGGATTTTCACTCCATATAACTCTTCCGATTTTCAATGATTACATCCGTGATTTTTAGCACTTTCACGCTTGGCTGCTCCGAATGGCTAGCCACGTTCTTTACGGAGTAGAGTACACTTTTTTAGCGCTGTGAACTCTATGACGATACCCTGAAACATTTGAAGAGCGTCGGTTGAAAGGTGTGTGAAGGAGGAGGAGCTAAAAATATCTCATAGCTAGTGGAATGTCACAACAACTTTGATGATTTATTTCTCATAAGGAATGATTATCCCAATTTTTTAAGAAGATGTGTGATCATTGGGGAATGTAAGCTCAACTGTATCCTCCATAAAAAATTGCCCGAATTTCTTTCTTTCGAGAATTGTCGCGTTGCGCGAGTTCATGTGCTGAAGTTATACAGGTCGAACCTTACTAAATTCGCATCAAGTTTTTCTACATTTTTTAAGATAGGCGGCGCCAAACAGGGCCAAATTTCAATCATGTCTCCCAGTAATTTTTTGCCATAAAACTAAAAGAAAGGCGCCTGCACAATTATTAACCATATCAAGTCGAAATTCTACATGAATTGTTAAATTCTAGCGATAACTGGATAAAATTTCGCTTGGTGTTATCAGTGAAGTAGTGAAAGGCTGCATTTTTGTTTAATCTAGGTAAATCTCAAATTTGATCATTTTTCAGTAAAATATGTACCTATAACATTTTGTTTTGCAATTAGAACTCAAATAATTTGCGCTCTCTTGTAGCCCATAGAAATCATTTCGTCAGAGAATAAGCGGTCAGAAATTTAAAAAGAGAAAAATTTACGGAATTATACTTGACTTAGTTGAACGTAGTCTTGAATATTGTCTTCCAATTATATTCAAAGTTGTCGGTTATAGGTTGCCATTAGGCGATATAATTTGACTAAACATATCTAATGTCCTTCAAGCTGTACCTCTGAAATTAGTATAAATGATTGCCTAATCCTATCCATGTGAATGCTGGTAATCTCGTTTTTTGCGTTGTAGGGAAATCCAACAAAGAAGGTAGATTATTTGTTTGTCTGGATAAATGTCAAACTTCGCAATACATCACCGTTATGGAACTCTCTCTTCATATATTATTGTTGCTCCAAGACGTCTAGCACTTCATAGTTAGCTTCTGCTCCTTAAATCAATTTTGACGCAGTCATATTTTTGTTCGAAATTAGTTGTCGATTCTTCAAGTTGATTGATTTTAAATTATCTGTACAGTCTTAGGTGACAATGGGCACCTCAGCTAGTGCTCACAAGACTGCAGTCAAGAGCATAAGTATTGATCAGAATGGATGGAGTAGGTAAGGAGAAGAAGCGTTTTTTGTTTCCATACTTGAATGCTTCAGTCGGAGTTACCAGCTTTTTTGGTTAAAAATCAGATGATATCTAGACCTTGTTCCGCCACTCGTGGACACAGTGCAGCATCACACAGAAGCCTGCCGGTCCTGTCGGGTTTCATTGGAAATGTATGGTAGATTTAGTACTTGTGAAGTTTACACATTTCCGGTAACATTTCAGAAGTCATCACTCGATGGCGGATTGACTAAAGCAGATCGCATAAGGCTAGTGGATCGAGCTATCAAGGCCGAAACGACAGCAGCTGAATGCGAGAATAAAATGAAAGGCATGGAGAGAGAGGTATGAAAGGAGTATAAATCGTTTTTTGGACATTCCACGGCCGTAACATCCGAGTATTGTGGAGGGAAGCAATTATCAAAACGGTCATTCTGAATGGCTTCATAGCACAAGCCTATAAGAGAGCGGTTCGTGGATCCAAGCGAGGGGGCAGAGGGATACACGCTAGTTCTTAGCCCTCGGCCATTCTGTTAACATTGATCACAGTGGCAGTGCGAGAAATTCCTCATGATGGGGAGGGGTAACTTTTTTTTAAGTGTTGACGTGAAGTTAGTCGAGCCCTCCAAAAGTTTTTATGTTGCGTTTTAAAATCTGTGTGGCCCTATGACCTCACAATTTAGGCCTTGGCCATACCTTATGCTTCAGTCGTCACACGATCTGGCAGTTTGCCAGATGTCCTCAAATTCAACATCAACGGACCGCAAATGCATAGTGCACATAGTCTGCACAACTTCCATAGACTGATAAAATGTCCTATCTTCGGCACTTTAAGAATGCACGCGCAATGAGTTATAGACAACTGAAATACTGCCGAATCGCTCGCTACTGAAATCGCGTGAGGTATGGCCAAGGCCTTAGAAGATTGGGGCAGCCACGTCCCGGAAATATTTCTCTCTTGCAGAGCTAATCTGAATCAAAAAAATTTAGAGAATGTTCCTAAAAGTAGAAACAAGTTGCAAAAAACCCAAAAAGCTCAATTTTTTTACAGATCCGTACTCTTGAGCTCCGAAATCATGATCTCTCTACGGAAGTTTGCTGGTTACGACAACAGTGCACAATACCATGCCCTGATGTGAGTTTGAGCCAGTTTAGACAAGTTGTAATCTGTGAATGAAGCTTTCGAAATTTGCACTGAATTAAAAAAGTTCATTTTGAGGCAGGAAACGGTTCGTTAGCCTCATTTGTGCCGCCGAATTGTTCCGAACAATGTCAGGTTGAGAAAAAAATGTTGCAAGATACTGTATCAAGACAGGTAATTTGCTGCGATCAATGTCAGACTATTTACCATAAAAATTTCATGCTCACGTAGTAGTAGAAAGTTCGATTGGTAAACAAGAAAATTAGTTTTGGTTGCAGCGAAAAAATCACTATTCTCTATCAAGCGCTCTCCATCCCTAGTCCACAACTTTTTCTCACCATAGAGACTTAAGAACAAAAATTCTTGCAGAACGCCGATCTGAGCCAATTACGAATGGACTGTGAACGATTGAATGCCATCGATGTTCGGAAAGATATACGAATTTCAGAACTGATCAAAGAGGTCGAGACAGGGAAGGCAAGAATTGCTGCTTTGGAAGGTTGGGGATCATTTTATTCCGCGTTTTGCCATTCTTTAAAAACTGAAATGTATCCTGTTTGGTTCCTTAGCTTAGACAAATTTTACAGAACTTTGCCGAAATCAGATGGATGGTATAACGTCAATGACATCGTCTTCCTCCTATGAATGCAAGGAAGATGTGCGCAAAACCGAACCATCAAGCGAGAAAAGTAAGCGATTATTTTTCCACAAAGAAGGATCAAGCAAAGATAGTGTCGATTTTTTCACCTAATCTGGTGAAAATCTTAAGCAAACTCTGGCCTGATATTGGGGCAGCCTGTTTTCTTGCTACACTCGAGCAATATATAACCTACATAACTGACAAAGCCCAGAGCCATCTTCCCCCCCCCTTCCCCCAAAAAAGGGAAGACGGTCATGAGGCGGTTTCTTGCTACACTCGAGCAATATGTAACCTACATAAACAAAGCCCAGGGCCGCCTTCCCCCACCCCCCCCCCCCTTCCCCCGAAAAAGGGAAGACGGTCATGAGGCGCGATTTCTTGAAGAATCACCAATACATACAACAGCCCAATTTAGAGATAGCGAGTCCTAAAAATACCAGGCAAGGTGCCCTAACTTATTGACTATCTGAAGTTATCCCCGGTCAATTCTGACGGCAGGTAAAAAATTGATAGCAATACTCCTGAAATTGCGATTAGTTGGTTTTCGCGGGTTTTTGATCTCCAACATTCATGTTTTGAAGCTACTTCAAGATATAAGTTGAACAGCCCTTGCAACGATTTGCAACGATTAGTAAATCTCTTCGAGAACTGAGAATCTTTTAGAACTTTACTAAGCACCAAAACATGCGCTGATTATGGTCCATAGGGCAATAAAAATCACTCCTCTTGGCATCCCCCCGAAAAAGTGTCACAAAATTTTTGAAGGCTTGCATAAGTTATAAAATTGTGCAAGTGCTTGATTGTTAAATTTTTCTAAAAGTCAAAACATCGTTGCTATGTTATTCTCATACGCGGCCTGATTGCGGTACCAACGCTTTGCGACTTTATTAATTTGCTAGATTTCTGATGAGAGACCGTATCGTATCTTTGTTTTTTACGTTTCCTGTAGTCCGATTTATAGTGGGAATTGCTTTCATTATATCTTCGTGAGACAGATTTAACTTTTATGCAATGCACTTGAAGTAGATTTTTTGCAAAAGCCTCATTCAACATTGTTTTGCGGAAGAGAAATTGCATATTTTTTCGGATCGTTGTCATTTAGGTGTTGAAACTCGAGCCGAAAACGAAGTCGCTGTAGGAAATCATGTGGGGCCAACGATGGCTGCATCCACAAGCAGCAATGCCGTAACTACTAAACCAAGACCTACGCTTCGGAATATCTTCACGATGGGCAAAGAAAAGCGCATCGACGGAAAAGGTTATGGTCTGAGCTGAATGAAGTTGGCAATATATGTTCTTATTTGCAGTTCGCCCAAGCACTGCTAGTGACTCGAAAACATCTGGGTCATTCCCGCCTCCATTGCAGCGCCTAGACACAGTGCCCATATTGAGAAGCATTGAAATCATGCCAGCTCCTCCAGATGGGAAGGAAGACCAGGATGAGGTATGTGATGGTCATCAACAGGGTTGAGCAAGAGGTCAGGCACAAGCCCTTCAAAAACGACCCCCCTCCCCCCTGTGAAAACCCCTAAACGACCCTCCGCTTTACCTCCAAATCCTCAGGATGTTATGTTTTGAAGAAGACCAGCCTTCACTGCAGGTTTCTATTTTTTGAAAGTTGTAGGCCCGACTTTCTGCGATTGTACAACCACACGTAACTTGACGGCAAGTTTTAGATCTGGATAGTCCTCTTTTCAGAGCTATAACTTTCATAGGGGTGGAGTGTTTGGCTCCAAATTTTCAATATAGCAAGAAGAGGCTTTGCGCTCAATATTCATGTCAAAAAAGGGGCGATTTTTAAGGCAAGTTAAGAGGGTCAGGCGCACCCCCTCAAAAGCTTAGGCGGCCTGACCTTTGAGGGGTTGCGCCTGACCCAATTAACTTTATTTCCGAAAGTGCTTTTCTACCCAAGTTCTATGTGATTCGCTAGCTCAACCCTCGAAGATTCCTCAGTGAGTGTTTGAGCTTGATTCGAGTTGTTTCGGCCTTGTGCTAATCCAAGGAGTTGAAGCACTCAACGTGAAAAACGCGCCGGTTAGAATTTTGGCAGCACTTTTTACTTCACTGTTTGAAAGCGATATGAAGCCTGATTTGTAGCATAGACTTGTAGAGAACATTACTTTGTTATGAGTATATAAAGCTGACTTTTCTCACTTCTGCAACCAAGTTGATCACGCTTGAAAATCACGCTTTTTAGACGTTGAGAAACGCTGAGAACTGCAGTAGGTAATGGTTTGTAGAGCGCATAGAGGTAATTTGACATGTTGGTTATGGAAATGATACCCAATTCACACAGCAAGCCTCCTTGTCGACCTCATATGTCGAGGTAAAAGAGATGAAGATTTGAATTTTGGCTGAAACTTCCATTGTGGAAACAATCCGTATGCTATTTATGACCGTCACTCCTTCATGTGATCGCGATATCCACCACTAGCGCACTTCTTCTTCACCTTCACAGTATCTCCCCAACTTAACAAATTTGATTCTTAATTACGACCCCCCCCCCAGTCTTACCCTCAAAACGATCCTCCAGGTCGGGCGCGCCTGATCCCACGCTCAACCCTGGTCATCAATCTTATATAGCTATTGATTGATTTTAGAAAACCAGTACGAACGTCGACGACACAAATGATGATCCGTACCTCAACGAGAAAGATCTGGTGGAATGTTCTGATGATAACGATGATGACTCGGACATCGACATAACGGACATTTTGGAGAACTCCCACAAATCTATTACAGTGGTGGGTTAGCTCCATGTATGACGCACTTGCATATTGCCAAGCAAAAATTACAACAGCCTAAACTCAGGAGCGGCAAGTTGCTTTGAATTCTATTCTCTCGAAGGCAGCATCCACCCCAAAATTTGCCTTCCGTTTTTGTCATTCTGGGGCCTTTCCGAAGCCCTGATTACAGTTATGAAGTTCAAATTGTCCAAAATCCTCAAAAAACCCGAGGACCTTGTCTTGAGGGCGCGGATGGCTTTCAGTACATGGGTGGGCGGAGCTTGATAGGATCTGGGCGGGGCTTGATCGCACCCATAATCTCCATTCAAAGACAACATTAAAGGACCGGACCACGAGGACGCCTCTCTTTTGGGGCCTACAATCAGAATTTGCGCAATCGGAGGAGAGATAAAATCACTTCACCTAAAATCGTCGCAAACTCTTTGCAGTGGGGATCGTAATGTAGAGAATGCATAACAGGCTATGAATACAATCACTTAGGATTAGAACTGTAAAAATCAAAGTAGCTGACAATGTTCCTAGTTCTTCCCCCAAGCTACTTAATAATCTTAACCTCTCCAGATCACAGGTAATGAGTGCGCATTCTTAAGCTCGTAGATACTCATGCATTTCACAGCAATGAGGGAGAGAGTATCTTACGTAAGAATAAAGCCACCATGGCTCTTTTTCGGGTTCCTACCAGCCCCGATTGTGACCTTCCCAACTTTTCAACTTAGCAGTTACTTTGTGTAATTGCACTACTTTTGACGTCCAACAGTAGAGCGGGTTAACAATAGAGTCCTTATCATGTGTAGGGAAATAATATCAAGCGACTACAAAAACCTACGAGGTTGGGTTCAAAGCCATCTGCTTGACAGCACAAATCCCAATCAGTGCAAAAGTGGTTGCTGCGACGCACATATCTATGGATCCTAGTTTGATACGTCTAAAGGCAAAATCAACACGCTCAAGGCTCGGGATCCCATATTTTGGGTAAAAGTTGGTAGTACATAGTGTGCTTCAGGTTCTAACCTTTCCTCACAAATTTCATTCTACGATGAAGCTGTAGAACTCTGCAAAATACACTCTTTTCAGTCTCAACGGTCCCAATCTAGCAAAAGCCGCGATTCTGGATACTCCACAAGATCCATCATTCACAACAGATTGCATTCTTGACGAACCTGCTTTCGATACTAATTTTAGTAAGGCTGCTACTGTTCACTTTCGGTCTCACTCAATATACTTAAAGATCGTAATTTGATTTTTCACATGTACGAGGTCTTGGAATAGATTCGTGTTCACCCTCTCGTTCGAGATGTCGATGATTGTCATGCGAGAGCACCAAATTGCCAATATTGTTCGGGCGACACCATCACTTGCCATCATATGATGGCGATTGGACCCTTTTCCTCCTTGATTAGCCATTTCGTCAAAGATTTGCTATTGTTTCATTTGTTTGAAAGCAGGTTGAGTATACATACTTGTAATTCTGCAAACATTCGATAACTGATTGTCTGATTGTCATAATTTGCAAATAGTAATATCACTGCTCTTCTTAAATATCTGCTCATGTACCCAGTTTTTATATTATTTACAAAAGAGGTTATTGTAAATAACGCTAATCGTTTGTTGAAAATACATTTGCAAAGCAGTGGTGGATGGAGCCCCCTCCCCCACCCTCCAAGAATGGGTCGCGAAATTCTTGAATGTTATTTACATGAGTCAGAAATGTGCAAAAGACTTGTTTATACTTGCAGATATCCAAATAAGTTTTTAAAATTTTGCAAAATTTTTAGCTATGTAAAAAAATTTTTTGGGGCGTGGCTGACGCCTCTCACCTCCATTTGGAAAGATGTTTTGCCGCTCCCCTCCTAGGACGGCAATATGAAAAAGCTTCAAAAATTTTTTTGTCTCAAATCGCGAACTGTAGATGGGGCATTAGGCAGAATAACATAGTGCGCGGGTATTTCACGATGTCAAATCAAACGACATGTGGTGAGCGGATAGTGCAAAGTGTTATTGTCCTCGCCAATATGCATCTGCAACAGAATTCACTAAAGCTTACTTTTCGCAATAAACAATTTCCGATGATACCTGTAAATTGCAGAAATATCTGTTTCTTGAAAACATGCAGCAAGATAAAGCATATCTTCTCAATCAACAAAAATCGTAATCGTAAGGTATGATAAGCCTGCGCTTGAGCGGAAATTGCTGAAAAATTTATGCTAAACACTTCCAAGTGAGTCGCTCCAGCTGATTTGCTATGTGATCTTTCGACCTGGGGATTGCACACTAGCCAAAAATTCATACTTTTTACTTCCTTACTTTCCGCTTCTCTATAGCCTTAGACAGTTCTCAGCAGTGGCACATTTTTGTTCCGAACGCAAAGCAGCCCCCTCGAAATTGCTCAAACGTTGTTCCTTCTCACGTCAGAGGGAACTCGCAAACTTCCGCAAGTTTAGAAGGAAAGTTTTTAAAATTCCCAGGTGTCGGCTCGTGCGATCCCTGTTAGAAATCTACTACATGTATTGCGATACTGAATCGGAATAGTAAGGTCAGCTAAGACTTTGCAATTACCACGTCCCATGATATTTGAAGGGAAGAGGGTTTATATTCATAACATTTTCTTATTGGAAAAAACAGCCAGCTTTCGAATAAAAACAACCACTATCTTGTAAAAACTCCTGATATGCATACATTGTGAATACAAAGATGCGGTAAAAGTACAATAAATTAGCCCTACCTCCTACAGAGCCAGCTCTACAACATAGGTGTGGTCGTAGGAACTTTGAACTTCTGTTTACCAAAATCACCAATCTTGTCAAACATCTTATGCTTTAGACCTGAGGGTACAATGAGAAAGAAGCAAACTTAATTTAGATATCGAATTCGAGTCTTCGCACCAGTTTCGTTATGGTACCACTATAGCTCATTGGAATTCTATAAACAAGACAATGGCTACCATAAATTTTGCGCACCCTATGACTACATCGAAAGAGACAATAGTGCATGACATTCAATGCTGGCTTCAGTTGAGATCTTTGTTCTTCATTCCGGCGACCTACGTCTTTCAGTGATTGAACTTATTGGGGCTACAACTACTCCACTCGTCGTCTTCTAAAAAATGTGATTTTGTTTCGTAGTCTACTAGAATACCAGGTTTGGCTAACAAATACTTTCCTTCGCTTTTGCGGTTTTTAAGCCAGATAGATTTTTTATCCATTGTTTGGTAAAAAGTCTTTTTATAGGCCTTAAGCTACACCCCCCCCCCTCAGAATCTTGACTGAAATATACAAGTTAAAGATTTGCATGCCAAAAGAAATTATTTTCTATCCAACCTAACAGCATATCGTGGCCTAAAGCTCTCCTAAGCTAGACTCATATCTAGTGGACATTGGCTTGGTTGGAGTAGCGTTTTCATATGAAATGTATACTTTCTTATAAAGCATGAAGCGCTGATTCCAAATCTGCTGCTGGTGTGTGCAAAGCGTTTCTGAGAGGAGAGTTATGGGAATTTTTGAAGCAAAAATTTGAACCTGCTACATCAAAATCACTGAAATCTGTACCAGGCCTCTGCACGAGGTGGCCTTTGGAAATGAAAAAACTAAGTCCCCCTTGACTTTCACGTTACAAAGGTCCCCTGTGACGCTAGACCCCAAACGTAAAGAACCCTCAAAAAACGAAACGTCGACTAATAACTTCACAATTTTTGGGTCTTTTCTACCTCGAAAACAATATCTTGCTTTTTGTCCAAAAATGATATCCAGCTTGCTTACACGCCACCTGTGCCGAGCCCTGGTGGTCTTTGAGCGCAAATGGGGCCATGTATGTACTGCCAGCGCACTTTACTACGCAATTACATTCAGTCTAGTAAACTCATGCTAGTCATTATTCCTTTGAGGCGCCAGAATGTCCTCAGCACCTGTTTTAACTTAGCCATCAAAAAATTCCCATAACTCCCCTTGCAGAAGCAAGTTTCTCTAGACTATCGACGCTCGAACGATAACATTTTTTGGATTTGCTGCTGAAAATCGGGACTTTTACGGTGTGCTATTCACAGCTGCCATGCTCGATTAGACTACGAGCTCCAAGCTTTTAACATTCATGTCTCGATAACAAATCACTTCCTTGTTGTGTTCATTCGGCTTCTTGGTAGCTCGCGCATTTCATTGCATTTATTGTCTCAGCTCGCAAGCTTCTACCTCAAAAGTGATACTCAGCTGTGTTGTCGAATCATACTGCTTCGTGATTTCTGTCCCACAAGTAGAAGATAACCAAAAGAAGCAACTGCAATCCGAATGTTTTAAACCACAGTCAGTTCTCAGTTTTGAAAGCTACTTCTTGAAGTTAAGTCTAGGGCATATTTTTGCAGCATCTTATTCATGAAAATTCAACCTTCTTCTTCCACACTGAATGAGAATATATATAAGAAAATTGCATGAACCATTAGACCATGACCCGAGTACGAGGAAAAACAAACATGAATATATGATCTCATTGGCCTATGGGGATTTTTTGTCGGTTCGAGCTTGGCAAGTCTTTTCAAAGCAATCTCAGACAATCGCAAATGACTTCCGGGAGAAAATGAACTTCTAAAACTTCCGGGGGACGCTTACATTGGGCCGTGTGGGTGGACCTCCCTACGAGGCACCTCCAGTAGGGGTGTCTCCCCGGAAGTTTTAGAAATTCAGTTTTCCCCAGCAGTCATTTGCGATTGTTTGAGATAAAGTCTGCTTTGAAAAGCACAAAAAAAGTCTTCTGTACACTCCGAAGTTTAGGACACTGAAGATACATATTTAGTTACTTCTATTTTTTGTTGTTGAAAGTAGAATACCCCCTCGTTCTTCTTGGTACTGTGGGAAAAAGTTGATCATAATGAAAGTTCCAAAATCTTTCCAAAATATCTATGCAAAAAAAACGTATCGTTCAGTTACTGTGGTCCATAGAATAACCTAGAGGCATGTTTGCTGCTCATACTTATAGTCATTGGTTTCATGCAAAAACGCGGTCCATCTCTTTTCCAAATCTGTGATTTCTATCGTTATCGATCTTCGTAACAGCCATGCAAAGATAGCTAATTTGACTGCCTTTGTCAATCAATTGCCTGCATTAGAACTATCTAGAAGACGTCAAAGAGAAATGTCTTTCAAATGAAAAAACAAATTTTCGTTTCAAAAAACGGACTACCATTTGAGTATTGCTCCCTAAGACCGTGTAGTTCACTCTTCTGACCCCCCCCCCCCCTTTCGTAGATTTCAGCGTTAATTGTTGATCTGTTCTCAAACTCATTCACTGCAGCATTTTTGAGTCACCCTTAATTATTCCGCACTTCATATTAAGTGGAAGTTCTGTCGCACCATTTTGAAAAAAAATCGTATTTCCTCCCTGTCACGATATTCTTGCATCAATATATTTTGCTACGACTTTTTTCATAGCTGTGTTTGTGTTTCTTGCAGAAGAATCAAAGTATGACTTCATCCTCAAGTTTGCTTGTGCAAAAGTTCGCTTCACCTACCTTATCGTCCAAATACCGACAATGTCAGCTTCTCAACCTTCAATGTGCTCAAACCCATTTTTTGTTTTGTAATTCGTCAAGCAACTTTTTTTTCTGCTAGCAATGACGAATCGGCGCAAATCATTATGAATTACATGCTATAAAGCGGCCATAAATTTATTACTTGATGAAGAGCAATGCATCTAGTTTTGAATAGTGGGCAACCCATAGTGCATGTTGAATAGACGAATATTAATGTGCTTGATGAGTCTGCTCAGCTCCAGACATGTGCCGAAGCTCGTTATGAGTGCATCCTGTGCAGCTGAGACTGTCCCACAGCATTTTCTTCTTTTATTTTTTTTATTTAGAGTAACTTGCAGAAAAGTGTTGTAGGCGAATGTATCCTTGATGGCTGTTGACCTGAAAAAAGAAATGAAACCTCTCCCCCCTTCCAGAGAATGGGTCGCGAAATTTTGAAAGTTACTCACATGAATTATGAATATGTGCAAGTGACTTGTTTGAACTTGTAATTGATTAAAGCAATTTTCAAAATCTTTTTAGAAGTTCATTTTGAGCTGAAGCCACGCCCTTTTTTCCGAAATCTTGATGTTATGGGCCCGAGAAAACTTCAGGAGGCATACCAATGTTTTTTCGAAGCGCTGGCTAAAGCCACACACCTTTATCAGAAAAGAAACTTTTTGTCGCCCTCCTCCCCGGACGGAAATCCTGGGTACGCACTGCTCTGCATATTTTCCCCAGTTTGTACGAAAATAATCGCATAACATTGATAAGAAGAGCTCCTCTGATTGCAGTCTCAAGAAAATTTTCTTCGTGTCTTGCCAAGCATATTTATTGAGCAAGAGCCCGTACCATTAACATAGCTTACAAGCTTGAAAACAATGCTAACTTAGTCAATCCGTGCCTGTTCC